TTCAGAGATTCCTCCCTCATGGCGTAGTGCTTTTATATCTTTGATTCCAAAAGAGGATCAAGATCCTACTTTACCAAAGAATTATAGACCTATATCTCTTTTAAATGTTGATTATAAGATATTTGCAAAAAATTTAGTAAATAGGCTTATGAGGGTTGTGCATCATCTTGTGCATAAAGACCAATCTGGGTTTATAACTGGTAGGTATATGAAAAATAATGCTAGACAAATCATTAACTTATTAGAATATCTAGACAAGAATAACCAAGTTTCTGCAGGGCTGATATTTTTAGATGCTGAAAAAGCTTTTGATCAATTGAATTGGCATTTTATGTTAAGAGTAATTGAAGAGATGAATTTTGGTGAAAAGATATTACAAGCTCTTACGGTAATTTACCAAAAACAAACGGCACAACTTATTGTTAATGGAGGTTTGTCAGAGGTTTTTACAATAGAGAAAGGTACCATACAGGGATGTCCATTATCACCGTTGTTGTTTGTTTTAACACTGGAAATATTATTGATTAAAATTCGAGAGTTGCAGGAAATAAAAGGAATAGAAGTTAACAAAAAAGAATATAAGTTAAGAGCCTTTGCGGATGACTTGGTGGTTACTTTGTCGCAACCTACTTACTCTGTAGTAAAGTTATTGCAGTTGATTTATCATTATGACTTGGTTTCGGGTTTTAAGATTAATGTTAATAAGACTAAAATCCTACCTAAAAATATGACTATTCGGGAGAAGCAGACTTTGGCTAACCTGACGGGTTTTGAAATTGTCAACAAGGTAAAATATTTGGGGGTGATGTTATCTGTTTCTAATGCAAAATTGTTTAAAAATAATTATGAAAGGTTGTGGGTTAGTGTACAGAAAGACTTGAGGAATTGGGAGAAGTTGCAATTATCTCTCATGGGAAGAATTGCAGTGATAAAAATGAATATTCTACCCAAGTTTCTTTTTTTGTTTCAAATGTTACCGATTTTGAAGAACGAGATTAACTTAAGTGAATGGCAGAAAGGAATCAATAAATTCATCTAGGCAGGGAAAAAGCCAAGGGTTAAGTTTAAAATCATGCAAGACTTCCGTGAGAGAGGTGGACTCAAGGTACCGAATTTGAAATTATACTATGATGCGGTGGTTTTAACATTAATCAGTGATTGGGTAAATTTAACAAACCTTGAGATACTCCATTTGGAGGGATGGGACTTACTTTTTGGTTGGCATGCCTATTTAATATTTAATAAAAAAGTGGATCGGGCTTTTAAATCTCATATTATAAGAATTTCTTTACTTAGGGTTTGGAGAAAATATTATAAAAGTGATTTTAAAGTACCACTATGGGCTATACCTTGGCATGCGATAGAAGGAATAAAAAGAGGTGTTAAAATGGACATGGTGTCTTATACACAGCTACTTAGATGGGATGGACAAAATTGGCAGTTAAAACTACTGGAAGAGCTAGTACATGAAAATATTACTTATTCTTGGTTTCAATATAGGCAATTAGTAGACAGATGGAAGATGGATCGCAAGGTGGGTTTTCTCAGAGAAGATGAAAATCTTATTAAGCAAGTGAAGGACCAAAGACTAACTCATATTAAGAGAATTTATGGGGTTCTAGTGGAATTGGACTCAGAAACAGAATTAATTAAAGATTGTATGATTAGATGGGCGCAAAATTTTGGTGAACCAGTCCTACTGGATACCTGGGAAACCATTTGGGTGAGAAATGTTAAATTTACACAAGCACAGAATTTAAGGGAGAATTTCTACAAAATGTTTTATAGATGGCACCTTGACCCACAAAAAATGTCTTTTATGTACCCTGACCTACAGCCTAAATGTTGGAGATATGGTTGTTTGGATGCCACCTACTATCACATCTGGTGGTCGTGTAGAAATATAAAAGCCTTTTGGATTAAGATATGGTGGAATATTCAGAGAATTTTTAGAAGGAGTGTAAAATTTACTCCACAATTATTTTTGTTAGGTATAGTTACTGATTGTGACACAAAGGAGGTTATATTGATGTTAAACTTGATTACAGCCGCAAGGCTGTTAGTAGGACAATATTGGAAGAAGGAATCTTTGCCTACTTTGCAGGAATGGTTTCTTAAAGTGTCTTATTTGGCGGAAATGGCAAAGATTTCGGCTTTTTTAAAAGAACAATCGCAAGAGAAATTTTTTGCTGTTTGGGATAAATGGATAAAGTTTATACAATTTAAATTGGATATAAAAAATATTATTTAGCTTTTTTATAACTTTTATTTTTATATACATACATATATCTTAGTTATACTCTTTTTTTCCATATAACTCTTTTATTTTATTTTTTTAATTAAGCCTATATTCTGCTCTGGGAAGCTCCGGGGGGGGGAGGGAGTGGGTGTTCTGGGGGGGGGTAGGGGAAGGGTTGTTTTGTTTTGTTCTGTTTAGTTTTTTTTGTCTATGTTGTTGTTGTATTGTTATTCTTTTGTTTTTTTGTTAAAATTTATAAAAATTTTCAATTAAAAAAAAAAAACTTCCAGTGTTGGAGCATTCACCACTTCTGGAGGCAGGTTGTTCCACTGGTTAATTGTTCTAACTGTCAGGAAGTTTCTCCTTAGTTCTAGGTTGCTTCTCTCTTTGGTTAGTTTCCATCCATTGCTTCTTGTCCTACCTTCAGGCGCTTTGGAAAATAGCTTGACTCCCTCTTCTTTCTGGCAGCCCCTGAGATATTGGAACACTGCTATCATGTCCCCCCTCATCCTTTTCTTCATTAAACTAGACATACCCAATTCCTTATATGTTTTAGCCTCCAGTCCCCTAATCATCTTTGTTGCTCTTCTCTGTACTCTTTCTAGAGTCTCAACATCTTTTTTACATCGTGGTGACCAAAATTGGATGCAGCATTCCAAGTGTGGCCTTACCAAGGCATTGTAAAGTGGTATTAATACTTCACGTGATCTTGATTCTATCCCTCTGTTAATGCAGCCTAGCACTGTATTGGCTTTTTTGGCAGCTGCAGCACACTGCTGGCCCATATTAAAGTGATTGTCCACTATGACTCTGAGATCCCTCTCACAGTTACTACTGTTGAGCAAGGCACCCCCTATACTATACCTGTACATTTGGTTTTTCTTGCCTAAATGTAGAACCTTACTTTTTTCACCATTGAATTTCATTTTGTTAGATAGCGCCTAGTGTTCAAGTTTTGAAGCCATGGTGTTCTTCTTCTGCCTGGACCTTCTTTGCCTTCAATCTTTCCCTGGAGGATTAAATGAAGTATGCCATATTTTTCTGGGTCCGAAATATTTTAACGATTATGGCAGCCTCTTCAATATACATGGCTGTTCTATTTTATTCACTGGTTTTCATATTGTTTTTCAACTTTGCTTCAATGCTGTATCACAATTATTGTACTAATCACAATATTCTTGTACGTGCTTTGATCCTGCATTATTTCAAAATGGTCCATAAATACGATCAGTACATTATTGTGGCTGGCCGCACAGTCAGCCAGATGTTTAGACTGGTTTTGGCATTTTTATCCATCTGTCAAGTCTTTCCCAAGGACCTGGGAAAGGCAGATGTTATTGTTTGATGGTATTAATGGTATCATCACAGGATATAAGATGTTCGAAATAAATCAGATGTTTTGGGATTGCAGCCAAGATGCCTATTATTACAGGTAGTCCTTAACTTATAAACATAATGAAGCCTGCCCATCACAAAAGTTGCAAGTAGATGTTGATGTTTGATGGTATTAAAGGTATTGTTGCAGGATGTAAGTCATTCCAAGTAAAGCTGCCTTCTGCAATTGACTGATGGAGACATTGCCAATGCCAATGGTCTTCTAGTGAGGCTTCAGACAGTTTGGGATTGCACTCAAGGCCCATATTAGTATTGGTACTATCTTTGCTTTCTTTTGCCACAGTTGTTCTACTTCTCTTTGCAGTTCTTTCTATTTTATGATTTCCTTCAGCAGTAAGTGATCCAGTTTCTTCAGGATCTTTGCAGAGGGGACATTTGCTTTCTAATGCTGTCTTCTCAATTATTATTATTACTTCTTAAATAGGCAAGAGAATAAACAGTTTGGCTCATCTTCTACTAGAGTATGTTCAGAATTACTTAAGTACTGAGACTGGAAGTATCCTGCATTCCAAACTTCAGCAGTATCTGCAATGAGAACTACCAGATGTTCAAGCTGCATTCTGGGGCACTGCAGATTACATTGCTAAATTCCGACAGAAAACTGGGAAAAGCAAGAGAATTTCATCATATTTAATTTGGCCTGAAGGAGCACACTAAGGGTTTATATCATCCCCTTACTTATTTGGCTTAAACAGAATGTATTATGAAAAATGCTAGATGAAGAAATAGAAATAAAAATTAATATTGCCGCGAGAAACTTGAACAACCTCAGACACTACATTGATGGGCAGACGGAATCTCACTGAAGGTGAAAGAACAACACTGATAATGTAGTTAAAGCTTAAAAATTTTGGACACATGCTATAAAGATAAGCGTTATTGGAGAAGGCACAAATACTTGGAATTTTTTTTTAAAGACTGAAAAAGAAGCAAACAAAAGACAAGATACCTGGTTTGATACAACACCTCTAACAAGATGGATAATCTTTTAAACAGTTTACATTACCATACATAATCCAGGAATGCTGACAACTTCAACTTTAGTGTATCTGATACCTATAACTTTTATATTTAGCCACAGACTAAATGTAGGTCATTAACTGAGGTTTAAGGTAGAAATACAATATAGGTAATCCTTAACTTGGAACCATTTGTTTAGTAACCGTTTAACAGCACTGAAATGACTTATGACCATTTTTCATACTTATAACTGGTTCTCCTAGTCATGTGATCAAAATTTGGATGCTTTATAATTGGCCTGTTTTTATGATGGTTGCAGTCCGGGGCTCATGTGAGTACCTTTTGTGACCTTCTGAAATATACCAATAAATGCATGTATCTATACCTGAATGGAATATGCTAAGTAAAAACATCAAGGGGTACTTTATTAAAAAATAGATATAGCACATTTGAAATTTTGGAGCATCTAACATCAACAAATGCAGTTGCTCCATCATTGTACAATCTATTTATAATGAAAAGCTCCCATTTGTGGAAGTACAAATTTCTCATTCCCATCCCTTCTACTTAATAACAAAATAGGAAGGGGGGGGGAAGCACACAAATCCTTGAATTCTGCCCCCATGGAACAATTCTGATGTCTGCCTGTTCACCGGGCTTGACAGGAAATAAAGCAAGTCTCCAACCTTTTATTTCATTGGATAGATGGCACCATATAGCATATTTCCCATGCTAGTTTGAATTACAGCTGTTTATCTTCCAGCTTTCTTTAAGATTAATTAAATGCAAATGCAACTCTGGGAATCATGGATCACCTGCCAGACCCCCTTATTAATACCTCCACTTAAAAGCACCAGTACCATGGAGTCATTAATTTGCAAAAGGAGGAAGGGGGAGAAGAGGAGGAAGAGATGGTGGGAAGAAGTGCAAAAAAAAGCAGCCTCCACCTCGCCATAATTCCTAGAGATCTGCCCAATTAGTCAGGGTGGGTGGGTTGGACAGGGAGCACCGGTCCTCCTTCGAGACCCTGTGGCCCTTGGAGGACGCAACGAGGCTGCAAGGATAACCTGGCAGTCTAGGTAGAAAGCTGGCCAAGCAGCAAATGTTTGAAGTTGCAATCTTGGCTGCCATCTCGTCGGCCAAGAGAAAGCACACAGGCTCCGTGTCATCCAGTACAAAGGATACAAACAAATTCCACCGGAAATTCAATGTGGCATCACATATGGGATACATGAGCAGAGTTAAACAACAGGCCACATTTATTTTTTCAGTCTCCTGCCTGTGATGCCGAGGACATGTGTAACCATCGTAACGTCTCTGGGAATCTGCATTTAATTTGAGCCGGAGTGGTGGCAGGGATCGGAGATCTGAAGCTGCCACAGGTTTGTGGCAGATGGCTCTGTGTCAGCTATGACAAGCAGCCAGGTTGAGCTTCCTCTGCAACTTTTCCTCTTTCGCTCGGATCAGGTAAATATGGACACACACACACACACTGGAAAGTTCCCCCCCCCCCGTTTTTGCTTTCGGCTGCAAGTTTGTGACTTCGCCCCATCTGTCACAAATCTTCTCTGGGCTCTGCTGTGAGGAGAGACCTGAATTTACCATGGAGTGCTGCCCAAGAAAACTGAGATGTTTCACCCTGTGAGAACAAAGAGACAGACAGAGAGAAAGAGAGAAGAGACAGAAAAATAAAACAGAGCTTCTTTTCCTTTTTGCAATGTCAAATATTTGATTAATATATAGATGCGCAGTTGTGTCCGATTCAGAAATTCTCCCATAAAAATCACATGGATAATATAAATACCACCATAATACCAATGTAAATAAAATCCTTAGATGAAGGTATAGGGACTCGGTCCCAAGTTTCGTAAAGTAAAAGGAGAGGCTTTTGTTGCTTAACTGTTGTGAGACTGGACTATAGCTCTTGGTAAACTTCACCTGAAACCAGGAAAGCTTTGGAGAACACGCCAGATTATTTCGTTCTGTACCTTCTCTCCTTTTGATCCTTTATTCTTGTGCAAAAAAATTCCCAGCCCTTCAGAGATTTAGCACAACTTTATTTGGACTCACAAATGTGAATTATTAATGGTTAAGAGCAGGCTGAAAGCAGGATCAAACAGACAGAAAAAAACATATTCTACATACATACATACATACATACATAGAGGGAGGGAGGGAGGGAGGGAGAGGTTTGCATTGGATCCCAGAACAAAAGGAACACATTTTACTGGCGTTGGGTCACCAATCTATATTGGCAATCACCTTTCCCATAAAAAAACCAACCCAAAACATTTATCACCCATTCTATCAGTTTCATTTACTTTTCTGGAATAAGCTCGTTTTAACAACGGCAGACATCTCTGGTTTTATTTTGTTATAGTACACAGATCAGTAGGATACAGCAGCACCTATGTTAATGCCTTACTATTCATTAAGGGCAATACATGTTGATTTGGAACCATTACATTAACTGATCTTTACAAACAGGTCAGCCTTTCTGTTAGATAAGAACTGAATACTTAAAAGCAACATGATAATTTTGCCAGGTAGGCCAAGGGTCAGACGGGACACCATATGGGAAAAGGGGAATAGGATCTTCTAACGTCCTTGTTCTTTGTTTAAAAGAAATGGAAAAGGATTAATCCTCTTCTCACCTATTGGTACCCTAATTCAAATCATCCACTTTCCAAATCTGTTGGGACTATTATGGAAGACAGAGAAAGACAGAGAGGTAGCCATTTGGAATGTCTTTCCTTTTCTATAACTAACAGCAAATTGGATAGAGATGGGTGGACATAGCTTTAGAATAAAGGATCAAAACCTTTCCCTCATTCAATTTCCTGATCCAAACATAAATCACCATTTCCCCTTAGCAGCCTTTTATGCGAAGAGGATAAGTTGGCAATACTGCAATCCATATCTCCCTACTCACATGTCATTTAGGCCAAATCAAGAAAACCTATGCTAAGATGAATTGTCTTCAATTCTGATCTGTGATTCAGTTTATCTGCTCCCTGCATACATGTATTGTGGCCTTGATTATAGACTGTGACCTGGGAGAAAAAGATGGCATAGAACAAGATAAGCTGATGGTTACGTGAGATGGGGGAGGGGCAGAGGTCAAGAATCCCTGGCATCCTCAGATATGAGTAGCAAAACTCTAACCTGAAAACTTGGAGAGCTGCTGCAGTTGCTCTTCAGTTTGGCATTTAACACAATCATTCCTCAGCATCTAGTAGACAAACTGGGCCTTTGTGCAACTGGATTCTTGATTTTCCTACCAACAGACCTCAGTATGTGCGAGTTGGAACAAATATTTCTAACATCATTTTCTTGAGCACAGGTTCTCCTCAGGGCTACGGCCTAAGTCCACTGCTGTTCACCCTGCAGACCCATGACTGTTGTGCTAGGTTTGCCACCAACCATATTATGAAGTTTGCAGATGATAGAACAGTAGTGGGCCTTATTCATGATGACAATGAGGATGCTTACTGCAAGGAGGTTGATTTTGGTGAACTGGTGTAAGGAAAACAGCCTAGTTTTAAATACTGGAAAAACAAAAGAGATCAGTGTCGATTTCAGAAAAGGCAGGCACAGCTATACTTCTCTGTGCATTAATGATTCACCTGTGGAGATGGTTACCAGCATCCAATTCCTGGGTGTGCAGTTAACGAGTAGGCTGGCTTGGTCGCTCAACAGCGACACTGGTGAAGCAGGCACAGTAGTGCCTACATTTTCTCCATCGCATGAAAAAAGCACATCTTCCTTCCCCTTTCCTTAGCACTTTCTACAGAGGGACGATCGACAGCATCCTGTCATACAGCATCACAGTCTGGTTTAGAAGCATCACTGCATCAGACAGGAAGGCAGTGCAGAGAGTGGTGAGGATAGCTGAAAAGATCATTGGCACTTCCCACCCTTCCATCCAGGACATAGCACAGAAGTGTTGCTTGAGCAGGGTCCTTAAGATTGTCCAGGACACTACACATCCTCTTCACGACCTGTTTTCCTTGTTACCTTCTGGGAGGAGGCTCTGTGGTATCCGAAGCAGAATATCCAGATTCAGTTATAGTTTTGTTCCATACATTATTAACTTTGTGAAGTCTAAAGCTTCCTCCTTCCGTTATGTATTCAAGATGGACAGTGATTAATATTTATATGTTACTTATACTGTGTGTAACGGTGTAGGTCTATACATATGTTGTATATAGTATGGTTAAATGTGTGTTATGTATGTGTATACTTTGAGAGCAAGCAACTAAATTTCATTTTGAATGTGTGCCATTGTGCCCACAGTAAAAAAAAAAAAAATGACAGTAAAGGTTATCTATCTCTTGATGGACCAATGCCAGCACAAAAGAGCCTATGTCCTTATGAGTTTTGACCTTGTACAATGGGTTCCTTCAAAAGATGGCAAGTCTTCTCCTTGCCCTGCCTTTTTTTCCAGAATTGTCTTGAAGGTAATTGTCTACAATTCTTTCTTTATCCTCCTTATCTTCTCAATTCACCTTCAGTGTTAAGTCTCAGGAATTCTTTGTTCTCTCCTTTTGCTTTTCTAAGCCTTCTTCTTCGGTATCTAATTCAATCCTTTCTCTGTGTGTTTTTACTATCTGTGTCTATAATCTTGATTCTGTCTGAATAAAGTCTTACATAATGTTTCAGGTAATGGGGCCCACTTCCTAGCAAGTAAGTTAATGGTGCCGGTTCATTTAATGCAGTGGTTCTCAACCTGTGGGTCGGGACCCCATTTGGGGTCAAATGACCATTTCACGGGGGTCGCCAAACCATGCTGTCCACCATTTTTTTCCCTTTTCCCTAGCTGTCGTACTCCCTCTTATTGGTGGCCACACCCACTTGGGGGTCACCACAACATGGGGAACTGTTTTATGGGGTCACGGCATTAGAAAGGTTGAGAACCACTGATTTAATGCTATGCACATTTGTACAAAATTTATCACCAGCAGTGCCCACAACATCATTTGTGGGATCAATCTATAATCATGGGGTGATTTCTTTCCCTTACTCCAAGCCCAAAATGGCAGAAGGTTTGTTTATCAGCAACATTTGGGTGCATCTATAAATGGAAAGATACAGGTGTTCAGGGAGCAGGTTTTCTCATAATCCTATCTAAGGAATGCTCCTCCAGAGGACTTCACCTGTGTCCTTCCCGTTCTTCCTCTTACGCTATGCAGAGGTGCTTTTATGCCATCTTAATTCCATTGGTTGCTTCTGTTTTTATTTTTTATTTATTATGAAATTTTCCGCCTATCTCGTATCCAATGGCTCTGGGCAGCTTACAACATAAAAGCATTAAAAAACATTAAAATCATCAATTATAAAATAACACAGTAGATAAAATCATTAAGATCAGATAGCAAAGGAGGGAGCCGGACACACGGGGAGCAGGGATGGGATTAGGTTTTAATTAGTCAACAACCTTCAGTATGAAGCTTCCCCTTTGGGTCCTCAAGCCAACTGGTCTTAAGGCTCTTACGAAAAATCAGAAGGGTGGAAGCCAATCTCACCTCAGGGAGTAAGGCAGGGGTGTCAAACTCAATTTCATTGAGGGCCGCATCAGCATTGTGGTTGCCCTCAGGGGGCTGGGTGGGTGTGGCCAGGGTGGGTGCAGCCTATTGAATGGGCGTGGATGGAGTAGGTGTGGCCTACTGGGTGGCTGTGGCCAGCTCTACATCGTTCGTGTCAAGGGTGCCTGTGGGGCCTGGGCAGGAGTGGGATATGAGGGTCTCTGGCAGAAGGGGGTGGGACCAGGGCAAGTGCCATAGCATGGTCCACTGGAGAAACCGCACTGTTCCTCTCAGGCCATGCAACCGGGGGGGGGGGGCTTACGGAGCTAAGACTGAATGCGTTTCAGCATAGATGGCCATCACAAAATTGTACATTGGCTCCTGGCTGGCTTGGGCTAGGGCCAAGGCAGAGGGGGCCGTCCCCTCACTGTTTCCAGGATGGCTTCGCGGGCCACATGAAACCACTTTGTGGGCCGCATCCAGCTCCTGGGCCTTGTGTTTGACATGTCTGGAGTAAGGTATTTCAAAGGGCAGGAGCCAGGGCAGAGAAGGCTCTTTTCCTGGACATGGCTATCCGAAATTCCTCTTTCTTCTGTTAGTAAATAGAGTGAGGGCACTCAACCAGGGGAACAGCTTACGCCCAGAAATCGTGGGCGCTCCATCACTGGAGATTTTTAAGATGAGACTAGACATTCACCTGTCTTGAGACGGTATAGGTCAGGGGTAGGCAACCTTGGCTCTTTTATGACTTGTGGACTTCAACTCCCAGAATTCCTGAGTCCACGAGTCATAAAAGAGCCAAGATTGCCTACACGTGGTATAAGTTCTCCTGCTTGAGCAGGGGGCTGAACTAGAAGACCTCCAAGGTCCCTTCCAGTTCTATTCTATTCTATTCTATTCTGTTCTGTTCCATTCCGTTCCGTTCCGTTCCATTCCATTCTACTCTATTCTAGATTATCACACAGCCTTTTCCCTTTCTTCTTCTCTTCCCCACTCGGTCCCTTTTTAAGGCCTCACGTAGAGGCAAATAGGCCTGGTTGACCACCTCAAGATGAATGTAAGATAAGTCACTCTGAAAAAATAAAAGGCAGGGAATTTATATTGGTGCCTAGGA